TTATTTGATATCTTACCAAAGCTTAATCTCTTATAATCTGACTTATATTATTTTTTATGATAATATTTAAGTATAAAATCTCTATTTTTTCAAATAAATCTATATAATTAATTTTTTTTATATTTAACATTATATATAAGATATTTTTTAATTAATTATATCTGAAAGTTAATGAATTCTTTCTCAGTTCTTCTAATTTGAAGCTATTTATATTTTGTAATAGCTAAGTTAGTTCTATTAATCAAAGTATTTTCATTATCAATAAGTTAAAAATCTTGTTTTTATTAACTTTTTTGAAGAAAAGATTTATGATAAAATTTTAAAATAATTCTCTTTAGATTAAATCAGATAATTATCTAGATTTTTAAATTCATTTTTAATAGAAGAAATAGTAAATCTTTTTATATAATCTTCCTTTACTGATTTCAAAAGCTAAAGATTGAAATATATTTTAAAAAGATCAATATTAATAAATTTTAAATAAGATTTCCTAACTAATTTCATAACTTTTTTTGTAAAACTCTTAAGTTTTCTATAATCTATAAATTAAATTTGAGAATAAATGATATGTCAGCTATATTTCTTAGTATTTAATGAACTCACTAAGACAAAAGAAATATACAATTTGATATTAGACTTAATACATCTGTACAAGTAATCAAAATTTGAAACATCAAATCATCATAAGTAATTTTTTCACTATCTAAAGAAGAGAGCATAAAATTTATAGGATCAGATTTTTATCTTGTATCAATATTAATTATTAAGTAAAGAGATCAATTTTTATCAATATATTTATATATATTTAATATTCTATAAACTTCAGAAGAATGATTGATTACTATATAATCTTTTTCTACCATCTGAATTATAAATTAAGAATGAATCTCTTTGAATTGATATATCTCTAAAAGTACTATATTATTTCTATTAATAGAGTTGATATAGCTATTAGATGCAAGTCAGTATTTATAATATATATATTCTTCATGATCAAATTTATAGTCAAAATTTATTAAATCTTTAGAATTATTTTTACCTTATTATATTTAATCAATTTTTGATTTAAGTACTATTATTCTAATGATTTATATAAATATTTTTTAGCTTCATTAGATAAACTTATTTTATTAATTTATATATATATATTATTTGTATATATATATTATTTTATCTGACAAAAATTATATATAGTAATCTTTTGTAACTATAATAATCAATAGATAAATCTTTAAAATAAAATTAATTATTTTATCATGATAAAAAATATAAAATTAATTAAAATAATTTTTATATACAAAAACTACAAATTCTAATACCAATTTATAAATATTTATATATTTATAGAAATCTGTAGTTAAAATAGTCATAGTTCAGAAGAATGTTATATTCATAAAAAATCTCTAGTATATACTTCTTATAAAAAATATAGCAAGTTAAATATAATACATATAATAAATATATGGATAAGTATAAAAATCAAGAAAATTATTATAAAAAAAACAGGCTAAATTAATTACAAAATATCATTCTATAATAAAAAATCATATATGTGAGAAGGCAAAAATATTATTATCAAAAAAAGCAGACTGAATTATATATACAAATTATTATACTTGAGAATTATATATCTGACTTATCCAATTCTAAGCATGAAATATAATCATATATCTGATATATATTAATTATTTTTTTCAGGATCTCTTTAAGTAATATTATATTCTCTTTAATATCTTTTATATTTTTAATTATTTTATTATATAGGCTTGAAGAGCTATTATCCTATAATAAAACTATAGATTTCATAACTTTTAATTGAACTTGTATCTTGTTTGTATTCATTATTATAATAACTATAATCTATTTAATTTTTGAATATATATACTAACTTAGAATAATTAATTTCAATTTAAAAAAGAATCTCTATAATATATATCAGATAAAAATAGTTTATATAAAATATTTCAAATATCTCATCTAACTATGACAAAAATTGCTATATTATTTGTAAATTACTATAAATTAACTTCTTAAACTAGTTTATCTTAGCTTAGTAATTATATCAAAAAGCTAACTAATAAACTTTCAGATAATAAGACAAAAGAGCAGGTCCAGAAAGCCAGAAATTAGACTAAAAGATGCTTCTAATAGTTAGAATTAAGTAAAGAGCAAGCAGATAATCTTATTTCTATTCAAGCTTCTGAAAGATATATTGAGAAAAGAGATTCTATCAAAATTATTATTCAAGATATTATAAAAATAATCTCTTATCTGAAGAGATAAATGGAATAACATATGACTTGGCTTCTTTTGCTCTTACTACTATTGTGAAAAATTCTCATCTTAATTTATTATGAAAAGAATTACATAGCTTAGGAGCTGATTATCTTATTATTGAAATAATGAAAATATTCTTTATTATTAAAGAAATAAATCAGATTTAAGCAAGAAAATATATACTTTATAAAATTAATAATTATAATTATTCTAAGTTTTTTTATCTAAAAAAAGTTTAGGAAAGACTTAGTAAATATGATACTATTAAATCTTCTTTAATACAAAATCTAATAGTAATACTATATATATGATCAGTAGATATAAAAACTCTTTGTATTAATTAATACAGATCAAGTAGTAAGTCATGATATAATTCTAATTATTTTTTATATTATACTAATTATACAAAAAATAAAAATAAAGTAGGAGAATTCTAATTATTTTTCTTAATAGACAAGAATTTAATACAAGTAAGAGAATTACTTATCTGAATTTAGAGATCAATATCAGATAAATTTTTCTTCTTATTGAAAGATAAAAATAATAATACTAATATAACTTCACTTAATTAATTCTTGAGTCATGATAGAATTACCTCATTTATATTAAGAAAAATATGTGCTAATTATAATTTTAGAGTATATAAAGATAAGAATGATATTGATCATTAAAATTTATGATAATTAGCATGTAGATATAAAATAGATCATGTTTTATCAGTTAAATATTATGATATAATAAATGACAGACTGAATACTTTAGCATCTTAACAAGAAAATAATGAGATTGAGAATATTATTAATTTATATAGAGAAATTTCTGATGATAAGAACTAATCATGCTTTTTTAATTTTGTAACTGATATATTAATTATTATTATTAGATAATTCAAAACTAGATCCAGATGAAGATGAGGATTCAGATGAAGACCCAAATATGGAATAATTATGAATATACTTTTTCTTTTTTATTATAGAGCAGACTATTAGATAATTCAAAAAATATAGCTCTTCAAGCCTACAGATATGACACATTATTTTTTAGTAATATTCAGATTTATTATCATATTTATAATATCTTGCTAAATCTTAAACTTTACTATTTTCAGTAATTAATAAAGAGAGATTCATATTTTTTACTTAATACTTACTTAATAATATCAGATATCATTTTATTAGTAATATTAGATAAGTTTTTATCTTTTTCAAAATTTAATTTTTTTATAATCTCATAAGTAATAATTAGATATTCTGAATATAAATTAATTGTACTCTGTTATTTTAATACTAATTTAATATTATTATTTTTAGTTATTATCTATGTTAAATTATTTATTAATATATAATAAAAAAAATATTATATTAAATATATTTAATATTAATATATTCATAAATACTCTTGTTAAAAGAAAAATTCTAGTAAAAATATTAATCAATACAATATCTAAATCTAATATTATTAGCAAGAGCTTGTTTGATAAGCTTGAAGAAGATTATAGAATATGTTCTATCTGTAATCCTATTAAAAAACTATATAGAGATATAATAAATAAAATAAAATATTTAGATCTGCAATTTTAGTATAAAGAAAAATGATAAAGTTTAGATAGTACTAAAGTAATAAACTTTCAAATTCACAAAAATCTGTCATTCAATTTGATGCTGAAACAAGAATAATAATGGATACATGAAGTAAAAATAAGCTTTAGATATTCTTTCAAAATCTATATCTGTTATGCTAAAATTGTAATAAATAATATGAGTATCCTATTAATCAATAAAGATTTTAATAAAGCTGACTCTAGTAAAAATAATTCACATAAGTCCAATTTATTAATGAAGAAGATTATGAATATAATTAAGAAAATTCTTTCAGATATCAAAAATAATCAGTTGGATTCTTCTGATTCCCATAAATCTTAATATTATTATATTAATTCATATTAAAAAAAGAAAAGATATAGAAATATCAAGATTATCAAGAATATTATAGTATCTAAATCTGATTCTTCCATATCCAGTTTGAAATTAAAGAATAAGTATATATATAAGACTGAAGTGATAGACTCAAAGAGTCATAATTCAAAGAATTGCCTAAAGACTTGTTCTATAATAAGAAAATACCTCATTCTAAAGTGTAAAGTAAAAGATAAAATTAATTATTGAGCTCTTACAAAATAAGAATGCTTTGTATTTGTTTATGTTTTGTATAATAGAGCTAGTATCTCTGACACAAATCTCATCATATTATAATAAATCTCAGAAGAGCAATGTCATGTGTAGGCTTGAAGAGTTATTGCTCTGCAATAGATTAATATAAATATAATTTATATTATTATTTGTAATTTGAGGAATGAGAGTGTGAAAAAATATATTATATATATATTTGGATTATAGGCAAAATAATATTCAAAGTTAACTTATATTTTCATTAATGCTTATTACTCTATGCTTTTACCATTACTATTTGGATTGAATTTTGATAAGCCTCCCAGCATTTGAGATCATAGATTTTTGTATTGACATAATTCCCACCCTCTATATTATATCTTATATTTTCTTTTTTATGATTTTTATTACATATGGAATATATCTCTGAACAAGTAAAGTAATCACTATATTTAGTTTGAGCAAAGAGAAAAAATATAACGATTTATGAATAGCTACGCATATAATCGATTTTATTCCACATGATGCTAAGTCATTATATAAAGATTTATAAGGTTAATCAAGATTAAAGATTTTTCTATCAATAAGCGCTCTAAATTTATATATCTTCTTAGGAATAGTGACTTCTAGATTCTCATCATACCATACCTCAAGAAGATAAATCCCGTTAAGTTGACACAAGGTTCTTTTCTTTCGATCACGGTTAACAATATCCTCGAGTTTTTTAACATCTTTATACCAGCTAGTGTTATGGAGCCGATGTTGAGCCTCTTGAACCTCTAACGCAATTCTATTGCTTCGGAAGAAGGCAGATGGCCGATATTCAACCACGGGTTCCTCATTAAGAAGTATCTGGGCTATTAGAATACATTTTTCCTGAAATTTACGATTTTTCTTAGATTCTAATTCTTTTTTAAGTTCATCTATATTCTGTTCTAATTTCACAACTCTAGCTCTAAGTTCAGTATTCTCGGCAATAGTATCTGTCCTATTTTTTTCCAACTCATCAATTCTACTCTTGAGTTTGGTATTCTCTTCCATAGCCTGTCTTTCATATTTTTTATGTAAAGCATAGATCTATTCAAATTTCGATTTATGAGTTAGTACACAGATATCCATGCAATAAAGTATATATAGATATCGCCATATAATCTTTCTATTATTCCGATGTATATTATACACCCACATTCATGCATACACGAGTTAAAAAACACAAGCCTTAAACGCGGACAAACTTCGAAAACTTAAAAAAAACAACCACGACTATACATAAGTACATTATCAGCTTCCTGTAATCTCAGCATCGCATTTTTTATCAACCGTGATTGAACAGCGATTAAACTGTGATCGCATAGTCAAGATTAATTTTTCTTTCTCAGCCTCAACCTCAGCAAACTTCCTTCTAAGTTCGGGAATCTCAGCATTATCTTTCCTAAGCTCAGTAATCTCAGCTGTGAATTTAGAATTCTGTTCTAATAAATCGATTTTAGACTGTGTATTTACCATTGTTTTATACAAGATGCGGATATGTTTACACGAAAATCTTTATTTAACCAGATATATTTACATTTTAAAACTGATATAACTCATGATAATTTCTGCTATATAATTACAACCCATCTGGAAGAGGATCCTCGGCCTTTAAACCCCATCGTGCTCGTCTCAAGTCTAAAGAAAAAAATAATCGATTTTATCGGACAAAGTCCGTGCACACTGCATTAATATCATTTTTATCTCAGGTATACGTCAACATCGCGTAGTGAAATACCTACCGATATGTCCTCTCCTACAATCGGTAGATGACAGTGGAACTCGAATCTGATTGGCTTTCGGTTTGTCGAGTCTAAACTGGCGATTTGATCCATGAGCATCGTTTAGGTCTTGTTGAGGGATTGTAGGAACAACCGACCCATTCACATCTCGCTCAATACCTTCCTTTCGATCTTTGTAAATATCAGTAAAATCGCGCAGATAATGGAAGAACATACTATGGATGAAATATACGACGCTGTGTCGAATCCCTCTCGTGATTGGAAGATTACCGTGTAATAAGAAACGCGAGGAGAATGCTACAATCTGTCCCGGCCTTAGCGGAATTACGATCTGAAGTTGTGGAAAACAAAGTTCGCCCCCCTCGAAATCACCCAATGCGACCAAGCAACATAAAGAATTCGGATGGTCATGTTCATCCCAGTGAAAATCACTTCTTGTGTTGAAATTGATCGCGATCATCGGGAATATGCCAAAGGGTCTTGGAGTAAATACTCCCCATTTCAATTCAGATAGCTTCTCGTATAAACTCTTATAGTAACTCTCGATAAAGCGATTGATGGAATCAGATAGTGGTACTAATTCGCAAAGTAGATTATTCACGCATTCTAAATGATCGATATTATGCAAGCTGGCGGTATTTGAGCTGGTATAGGGAAGGAGGTTGTATAGTGTACGCACCGAAATGTTCGATGAAATTTGACCAGAACTCGTCGCTTCGATGGGATGGATTATTCAACGTATGGAAATAGTAGTGATTAATGGCATCTGTAGCTTTTACAATCGTATTTGGGTTATTAAGATTTTCAAGATGTACTAATGTCTGACCATCCATATCGGTAATGCATTCAGGATCGACAATATAACGAAATCCTACCAATCTATCAAGCAAACTAAAATTATCTCGCGCATATGTGATTAACTGTTTTTTTCTTTTCGGGTGGTGGAACATATAGGAGCTGAAATAGAACTATCCCGATTATTTCGAATATTCATTGCGTGTTCGAGTTGCTTCCACTTCAATCTTAGGTGCTCGCGAACGTCTTTTCTCTGGATCGGCTCCTTCATTCCTAACCAACGGCCAAAGGCAACCCATAAACGTTTTTTCTTATCACCTGTGGATGTCTCACGAAGTGGAGATGTTATCGCATCTGAATCAACCTTGCTAATTATATCTATATCAACTAACATCAGAAAATCGGATGGAATATCAAGTATCTCGAATGTGCCGATATTGTTAGACCTCGTTTCTCTAATTAACGTTTCTATTAATAAGTCCCTCGTAGTTATATCGTGTTGCGTCTTTTTATTTTTAGCCATTATCCGATCAAAGGGAAAGAGTTGTGTACTTAACCATTCATTTCAATATAATATATTTTGTCAGAAGTGCATAATCTCCGAGTTGCAGATTGAATACGATGCTAAAAATAATAATGGGAATTTAGCTTATTTGATTTTAATGTTATTAAGATGCTTTTTTTCTAGGGTGTCGAGTATATAATGTAAAAAAGTAGGATAGCGAAGCTGATGCCTAGGGCATCTAAACAAGTTGTATTTTTTTGCGGAGCGGAATAATTACCCTTGCCAAAGCACTGAGCCACCAACTCCCAATGGAGTAATGATGATTATGCGTCTGTTGCACCCCACAACTTGCTGGGCAAACTCGCGACAAATAACTCAGGTAATTCCCCTATCAGCACAAAATAATAACAATCAAGAAAAGGTATTTTGCTATACTAGATAAGGTGCCGTATTAACGTTTTGCGCTCTGAAGGACAAAAAATAAATATACCCTCGTCGGATCAAATACGATTTCAAAGTTAGTGGAAGAGTTAGTTGTTATATCGTCTGGCACGTGGGGAGGTTCAATTTGTTCGTGTCCGTGCTCACGTTCCCACTTAAGCCTTTTATTTCTGCGTTTGCGAGCCTCTCGCGACAACTTCTTCGTAACCGGTGTTTCCTCCAACATAGCTTCTTCTTTTCGTTTGTTAGAGTCGGACGAATTCATAGTTGGTATGGTTATGACGGTTCTCGATATATTAATAATAGATGGAGAAATCAAAAGCAACACTATCCGACGAGCCGTTAGGATTTTATTCCTAGAGCCGATGTCCTACTATATGATAATTCAACCACCAGGACCAGTTTATTGATATATCAAAAAATACATAGAATAAATATAGTATAGATAATGAAAATCTAATCGTCATATGGGGGAGATGATACTGTCGAACTATCTTCTTTATCTCCATGTAAACCACGATCCGCATTTAATAATAAAGATAGGTTAACGATTAGGATTTTCTATAAAAAGAGAAAGTTAGATATACTCTATTATATAGAGAGCACGCATAAATAACTAGATCCATACCCGTAATAGCAACAACGCCTCCACAAAATTATATACAGTATCTCTATCTGTGAATTGTATCGGGATATCCACCGAATGTAGTCTAAAAAGCTTATCTACCCCATCTCCATCCCGAATGAGAACGTACAGGTGAAGCTTTTGTCCAGCAACTTGTATCCCAATAATTCCGAACTCGTCTTTTTTTGGCTTGCAACCTTTATGCACCCAATACATACCATCGTTCATTTGTCTCCATAACTTCACCCAATCATTTTCTTCCTTCTCTTTATCACAAAAAAGACGAGAGCATTCGGCAAACATTAATTCATAGATTTTTCTCCCACGTTTTACCATGAACATAATATCGGGGCGCTTGCCAGTCTTCCCCCTTCGATCTTTACTTGCTATACTCTGTCGTTCCGCTCTACATAAGTAAAATATATAAATACAGGTTACTCGAAAAAAAGTAAATAATATCATACTTACGTGCTAACGAAGGCGAAACTCTTTATTGGTGGTTTTTTAAATGAAGCTTTCACTACAGGGACTATAATATCCGTTACATATGTCCTTTCGTTTTGAGATTTTGCGAACTTCTCCCCAAACGCTGGATTCCTCCAAACACTTTCTCTAGTTCCAATAACAGAAAATATAAACAATAATTTTTCAGCGGAGCTGGCATAAAGTGCCAAAATAAAAAACGTATTATACTAACATTATATCGAGAATTCCAGATGCAACCCCTACAAGATCTTCTTCCGACTTATTCCAACTTCCATGTGAGAGTTCGATAGGCACTTCCTCATACATTTACTGCACCATCGATTTCAAATATGTAGCATTACAGGTTAGGAAAGTAAAATGTTGTGTCACGTGATGGTGATGTAACTCGACCGTGACTGAGTAGACATGGTCTCAAAGTTTGATACTTTTTTATATGAAATATTGTAAGGCATGATGCTTATAATTAATAAAGTTTACCCATATCGGGCTACCTGCATGCGTATTGGTTAATCGGACACATCAAATCTGTGGCCGTTTATGGGTTAGATTGTGCTCGCTTGCTCATTTGTAATTTGTTGTTGCTTAGGGCATGTTAATGCGGATGTTAGTGTAAGAATTTTATGGATCTGTTTCGTGGATGATTAGTATCACATTTATGAATGGGAATTGGGTAATAAAGTCACCAAATGACTGTACTTTGGATTTTATTAACGTTATTACGAGAGAATTTGTGGAAAATCTCAATGATATTATCGTACAGCACGGGTACATTCCACCATGAAATTTTTCAACAGGGGAATACGTTACGTAATCGACATACGTAATTGATCTGTTTACATGCCCAATAAGGGATATGTACGGTAATTTTATCTCACTTAAAAACCACAAAATGGATCATTTTACTGTTCTCTTGTTTCCTCTAGTATTCTTGTTTACTCTAGTATCCACCGCTCTTCTTTTTATAATTGGTATGCTCTCACCTATTTGGATCCCGTTTGTTGAGTACGATTTTCAATGAATAAATAGAAAAAATACGTATATTCTGTGAAAATCATTTATAACTGGTATCGATCAACGTTGTTAGACTTTTTATTCTGTCTGAAGTTATGGAGATATTTCGAACAGTTGAAGATAATCCCCCTGAAACACTTCAAACCCTCATTACGTATGAGGAAAAGCGCAAAACTTTCTTGGTATACCTCATATGTGCTTGAATAACATAATTATAACGCGTGTAACAACGCTTTGACGTTTGTTTTCTTAATCTATTTGTAGCCCGCATGGGTAAGAATTTCAGGTGGCCCCTTTCTATGCCAAAATATCTCAGAAGTCATGCCTTCAGAAATATCGCTGATCTCGAGTTCGAATACGACGAAGAGGCTGGACTTAACATCATATTTTTCTACAACGCACTCGACAGAGGCGAATTTTCTGGACATGAAAACGAGTGGGTAACGGTGCACCACCAAAAAATAATCGAGTATGGACAGGAATATAGCGATTATCAATTGGACCACGTTCTCGAAACTTTGCCTGGTGCCATCCAACTTCCGGTTGATCAGACACGTTTGCCACGTAGTCCGCCGGCGAAAATGGTGATTGGTCAGCGTGCTAATAATGGGGAAAACTACAAGGTTTAAATATGTAGATTTGAAGAATTTTTATAAATTTAGTACTTAGAGTAAAAGATGTATTTGTTTCTCGAGTTAATTTAATTTTTTCAATAAAGATAAGAGTTCGCGTCAGAAGACCTGGAGAAAGTAATATAGTCGCTCAGCTTACGTACGATTTTTATGACACCAGAAATAACAATAAAAAGTATACGTGCGTGATTGATACAGGTGCACCAAATACGATCTTGCCATATCATGTTAAAAGGATACTTGGGAGTAGGGAGTGGAGTACGATACCAAGAATAGCTGGGGGCTACGGGGCACCTGCGCAACAAATTCGTGCGTCTAAGATATTTGAGGTGTCTATTGGAGATAATAATTGGACCAAGTGGGTTCAAGCCAGAATTCTACTCTGGCAAGAAAAACCAGGCAATCAAGTGGAATATGCCCTTGTCGGTAATGGTATTACGGATCAACTGGCATACGCACACGAGCCAAGGAACCCATTAAAGTTCTTAAACATTGCAGATGAGACCAGGCTCACCACGTTTTTGAATGGATGCAGTTAATTCCTTAGTTAATCACAACCTCGATAGGAATTTCGTATAAAATATGACGGTATCAAACCCAATAACAGTTAATTAATCAATCTTGCACTCTTAATTATGCCAAGCGTAGATTTTCAAAAATAAAGATTTCCCTATGAATCAATGCACGATCACGGCCCATCATGGGTTGCATCACGGTTGCTTAGGCACCTTATGCCTGCAAAGCAAAAAAAGTGGATACAGGAAGTCTGGTAGTTTGATTCCGCATACATATTCATGTATGTGTATTAATGAGTATCTATGATCGATAAATTTTTCTTGACAAAAAAACCGTGACAACTTTGTGAACTGAGTTCACGAAGTGATTGGCATAACCCAACTTTTTACTTGACTGTTTCTATATACAGTATACTAACGAGCTTTTGAATATTTCTGGTCTTGTATATAATTTATCGAACATGTTAAACGCTCAATCCAACGATTTATTAAGGGAATTAAATGCCAAGCTCTTAGCTGAGATTGCTGAGCTTAGGAAGAAGTTTGCTGAGATTAAGGTCGAGAATGACGAGCTTAAGGATAAGAATGCTGAGATCGTTGCTTTTAGTGATAAGATCGCTGAGCTTGAAGCTGAGAGAACTGAACTTAAGACCAGGATTGCCAAGCTTCTAAGACAGACTGTGGAAGAGAATAAGATGCGTGATGTTAAGGTCAAGGAATTAGAGCAAAAAAATTCAGAGCTTGAGACCAGACTCGCTATATTAGAACAGGAAGAAAAAGATTTCTATAAAAGATGTTTCACGATCTTCAGTAAATTCTAATGATACTCCGGCATCTAACATACCCGATAATACTTTAAATTCTAGTATTACTCCTGAACAAATGGAAAATAGCTCTGATATAACATCTGATAATGTAAAGCATCAAACTTATAGTTTCTCTGATACACACCAAAAAAAGAATAGCTGATCCTCCGTACCTTCTATCACTATGAAAACTATATCATCGAAAAAGAAGAAAATAAATGATTTCCTGGATAGGTAAATAAAGAAATGATTAGTGAGAAAAGAACTGGAAAAAGAATCTTAGATCTCAAGACAAAGTACAGAAAATCATGTCAGAAATTTCTGAAAACTCAAGTTCTATTAATAATAATAATATAGATAAGGATGTGACAACTACTATCAAGAATGAAGTGGAATTTCTATCCAGCAATACTAACTTTATGCTTTTATATGAAAAACTTTGTAATGTTATAATTCTTGCTGATCATAAAACTCAAGAAGTTATTGCATATTATTGTCTATTTGAAAAGACTCTTATTTAAAGATATAATGAAATAGCATTAGAAAAACAAGTTGATCCAGAATCCAATACTATTAATAGAATTTTAAATAAAGAAGTAAGAATATAATTACTTGCAGATACTTCTAATAGTCTTTTATGTAAGAGAATTGAAAAATTAAAGAAGTTTTATAAACTTTTTGATATAATAGATATTATCACATTCATTTTTTTTCTACTAATAGTATATCTAAATTAATAAAAAATAAAATTTAGTATATTATAGATAATATATTCTTTGATTATAACATTAATATGAGTTTGTCTTTGGCTAAGTTATGGAATAATAAGAAAAGTTCTATAATTTAACTTTGTAAATTAAGTTTATAAAGTGATAACAAAATTTTTCATTATCTAATATGTCTAATTTGAAAGATATAATAAATGAGAATAATAAATCTTTATTAATAAAAGAGATAAGCATATCTATTAGAGTAATTTTAAAGAAAAAATCAAAAACTGTAAATGAGAATAATAATATAAAAGAGAAAGTCAAATTTTTACTAGAAAAAAAATATGTGAATCTGATAATTCTTTAGATTCTAACTTGAAAATCTCTAATAATGATGAATTTTATGAATTTTCTAATAATAATAATAAAGATTATTATTATGATTTAAATACTAGTGAAACTTATACAAAATTAAAATATTATTATTTAATCTATATATATTATTATCATTTTAAGTTTATGTATATGTAAATATTTTAAAATAATAAGAGTAACTATGTTTATAATAATTATTTACTTTTATAGTTTCAAAAGATTATATAATTGATTATCTTTTCAATAAGATAATATATGCGAGTTTTACTTCTAATAAAATATAATTATCTTCTTAATAAGCTAATTTATATAATTTTACTTTTAACAAAATACTCTCTCAATAGAGCAGGAAGAAAATAAAGATAAGATATGTGATAAGATATATATATTTATTAAAAAAAATATTAATTAATTATTCTTAATCTAGTAACTAATTCTTCTTATCAAAATTTAATTATTCTTTTTGATTACTTCTTGATCTTTTATATATAATATTTTTCTTGCTATACTAATTACAAATCATTTCTAATATAATATTTTACTTAATTTACTCAAGAATAAGTAGAATTTCAAAAGAATAATCATAAAAAATATTAAATACATAATAATTAAGAATTAAAATTAGCAAAATATTAAGATATTCAAAGCTAAAGTGAGAAAAAAAAGAAAAATTAATAATAATTAATTAGAAAATTATTAATTTAATAAAACTATAAATTAGGTATAATATACATAGATAAATTAATAAAAGAATAAAACTAAATATAGGTAATAAGATAAATTAAAAATAAAATTAATTAATAAATTAAATTGATTAATATAAATTTCTTATGTACTTAATTTAGTAATAATTAGTGATTACTATACCATATACTATGGCTATATTATATATTGTATTATATTTACTGTACTATATAAATAGATGATTAGTTATAATATTAAGAATTATAACAAATTAAAATAAAATCAGATTAAAATGAAATTTTTTCTATTTTAATATGAAAATTTCATATTTTTTTTGAGATAATTTTCTAGGTTTTTTTTAGAATTTGGGTTAGGATTTAGGGTAACTTTTATTAATAGAAGAGTATATATAGATTTCAGAGGTATTAAAAGAGAATTCAAAAAGATCTCAATTTTATTTTAATCTGATTTTATTTTAATCTGCCACAAGAATTATCAAAAAAAATATCAAAAAATAGTTAATAACTATATTATATATATCAAATAAAAATTTTTTCTTGATATTTCATCATCTTTATCACTAATAATCTTTATTATATTAATAAAAATGAATTTATATATATCATATATTATATCATATATTTACTTTTAATAATTTATTAATAAATTAGTCATTAGTCATATTTTTTATTTGAACTTTCTGGTATAAGTCTTTAATTAATGCAAGAACTCCTGATATTAGAATGAATTAAAAATACAAATTAAAATAAATTCATAAATTTATCTTGAAATAAAGATATTCTAATAAATAAATAATAATATTATTTTAATATTATTTTAATCCAAATATATATAAAATTTTCAGCTTTAATTTTTGCAATAATATTATATTAATATATAAATCTAATGATTTTTACATTTTAGAATTAGTATTGCATTATCAATTATTATAAGCAGTTTAAGAAAAAATATAATAAGTTAATAATATATAATATACATATCTATTTATTATGTAATTTATTCATATATATATTTATTTAAAATAAATTTTATTTCATTATTTTTTCTAAAGAAAAGCTAATAATAGTTTTTTTATTTTGATTTTTATATATAGTTATTTTATCTGACATAAAAAATCTTTTAATATAAATAAACTATAAAATTTATTTATTTTTTTTAATATTTACTTCAATTTCAATCAAACTAGATATTAATAACTATTTTATTTGAGAATAGTAGTAAATAAGATATTAAAAATATCTATTTCAATTCTAATTATAGCTGAATATAGATAGCTTTTTAATAAAAGTAATGAGTAAAATATATTTATATTAATACATTAATAAATAATAAGAAAAAATTAAATATTTGCTATCTAATAAATATATATTATTTTATTTATTTAATTTTAATGAGATATTCTAATCAAGTCATATACTTAAAGAATCATTTACTATCTTAATAAAATTAAAAATTATGAATTCTTAAGCTTATAAATACTTATTAATAATCTTGAATATTTTTTTTGAATTATCTGTATATTATTATACAATTTTATGAATATATCTCTAGATTTACTTTCTTAAAATAGAGCTAAGTGTAAGATATTTTCATGAATAATTTTAGGTATTTATATATATTTCTATAATATATATTTTGATAAAATATTTTGATATTAATTATTAATAAAATAAGAAATAATTTATTCTTGAACTTTCTTTAATTTAGTATATAAATTCTTGAATATAATAATTATATTTCAATTCAATAAGAATTTAATTATATCTGAGATTTTATCTAGAAATATTTTTTTAAATATAATATCTTCTTAATATAGTTTAGATATATTTACAAAGACCTGAAAGTTATTTTGTATAAGTTACTATTTCAGCTCAAAATATTTTTCTATTAATATAAGATCATTATTTTTGATATAATGATTTTCTTTCTTATCTTTAAATATTTATTATAATTTATTATTTAGTATAAGATTAATTATCATATTAATTTTTTTGCTATAAGATTCTTTAGAAACTAATAATCTAAATAGACAGTCTGATAAATACTTATTATCTTTTATTCATTCTAAGAATTTATTTAATATCTTATTTAGTTAATATATAAATATAGGTATATCTTCTTTCTCTTTTATTTTAATTAAGATAAGTAATACTAATTTATTATTAAAAAAATATTAATTAAACTAAATAAGTATTTAAAATTTTATTTTTATTCTATAAAATCCAATTCTTGAAGAATATTTAGTATAATTTTCTATAGATTTTTATAATATTAAACTTCTCTTAAAACTATTTAGTTTTCTTCACAAAAATTCTTTTTAATTTGATCATATTTTTATTATTTAATTAAGTTTTTTGGTTTTTTTAATAAAAGAAATTATTATAATAATTATACTATTCTTTTTGAATTTCTATAGCTAAATCATATT